GCCATTATTCTCATTATCGTCTATTTGTATCGGGACCGCGTCGATTGCACCCCTAGTTGGTCCGCTTTCTAGGGGGCGTTGGAGTTTAACCCCCGTGTCTGCCTAGCTCGGGTGATTTCAGGACAGTCTCTCACTAGATGCCCTCGGCGGTCGCACATATAACATGCCCGGGGAGGGAGGGCGGCTCCGTAGCGGGTCCCCTGTCCGCTCCCTCTCTCTCCCCCAGTACGCAGTTGTCCCACATCAGACTCTAATTGGGCTACCCTCCCGGCCAGCCCCCCTACGGTCGAGCGTAGTTTCCCCATCTCAGACTGGAGGGTCTTCATATTTTTATTCGCTTCCTCGCGTACCTGGGTTACCCTCTCACCTACGTGGGTTACCCTCTCCCCTATTTGGGTTACCTTACCGTCCATTCGGTCTACTCGGCCAGCAATATCTCCCATGCCGGTCTGTAACCCAGCTACCCAACCCGGGGTTGTCTCGCGGGGTTTCTGGGCCTCTCTTGCCCGTCTCCCTATGGAGCTGGCGGGCTCATCCTCATCCTCCTCCTCGTCAGGGATCAGGCTCGCCACGGTGTACTCCTGTCCCGACCCTCGGAGCTGCGCGCGTTCGCTGGAGAGCTCCTCACACTCCAGCGCTTGCTCGACTAGGGTATCGAAAGGGAGGCCTGCGCTACTCTTTTTGGGCTGCCACCACGCGGTGCGAGCTAGGTACCTGAGTAGCTTGTCTGCAGCTAGCGCGTCAATGACCTCCTTCAAGAACTCTGGACGGGCGATCCGGGTTAGTGATCGCACGTCCTCAGCGTAGTCTCGGAAGTCCTCGCCAGTTTGGCGTCGGCGCGCCTCTAAGGCGGTCTTCGCCCGTATCGCGTTGCGCGTGCCGAAACGCAGGTCTAATCTACGCATTAGTTCTTCTAGTTGGGTTTGCGCGTTTTCGGGTAGTGCCTCTACAAAGTCGGCTGCCCGCCCATCTAAGTTTAACGTAAGATGTCGCAACGCCTGCGCGTCCGACCAGCCATTAAGCTCTTTAGCCCTATGATATTACGGGAAAACGCTTTCCATGTAGGGGTCCCCTGGCCGGTGAACACATGCCTTACCTTTGCGTGGAGTAGCGCGCCACCTTCCCGTGAAGATGTGAGGGTTCGTACGACTTCTGGCACCAAGTTGTTGGGGCCGCTGGTCCCCGAAGTCCCTCCCTGCTCCGTGCCTATGGCAGGGGCTCCGTCGTGCGCCGACCCCTCGCTGCTCTGCGAGCAGCTGCTGCCGTCGCTGGGCTCATCGCCCGACGGCTCCCCTCCCTGGTCCGTCCCTCCGCGAGCTCGTGTGAGAGGCATAGCTCGCCGCACGCTCTCGTTCACCTGCAGACGCTGCGTTGTCTCTCCACGGATCACGCGCTATTAAACAGGGGTCAGGGGTCGGAGGGCGAACGACTCTGCCCTCACACTGCGCGAGTCCCGGCGGCGACAGACGGAGCGGGGACCTGCGGACGCACCGACCCCTTCCCCCACACTACGAGCGCACACACCTGCACACACGCGACACCCACTCGTGCGCCGCTCCACGCAGCGCTCACTCACGTGGCGAACCACGGTGTACACACGCGCACCCACACGCTCACACTGCACGACAATATCACACGAGACCACGCTTCGCTATTAATGATTTATTATCTGATACCTGGTAATTTAATGTTAAATCAGTGAGTCGACGAGGCTGGCCTACGCTGATACCTTTATACCTATTCCCGATTTATCTGCTATGATTCTAATTCACCTTCTTACTCCCTGTTGGATGCCCACGGCGGTTCGTTGATCCCGTACTCGCAGCGTACCTCGATGCGTCTCACGGACGTTCGGGTCGCTGGACTGGAGAGCGTCCTGTCGCCTGGCGCTGGAGAGAAGAGAGCGATTTCCCCTCTGCGCCCCTCTATTTATCCTCCCTACCTCAAAGGGGATGCTGCGCTGAACAATGGGCTCGTGCACCTCGAACCCGCGCACGGCGGTTCCGGGCGCTTTTGATCTGCTAATCAGTGAGCGGCGTTGGTGGCGTACATCCTAATTACTCCCTTACCCTTCCTAACGATGGGGCCTGCGCGCTCAAGCGTAATTATCCCAACCCTCCATGACTATGCGTAACAGCTCCTGCGGTCCCGCTATTCATGCTGTCCCGTCCCTCCCCTGCTTGTCCCGTCGACCCGTGGGGGTGTGTGTGGGGGGAAATGCGTCTCAACCACGGTGGCCGAATGCCCCATGCCGCGACCACACCATATTAAGGCTGGTCGCAGCGCCGCGGCGCAACGTAGCACGGGGGAGGTCGTCCAATTCCCTGATCGCCGGAAACCGTGAGAGTTAACCCCGATAAGGGTTTCTCGGATAAAAACCGGTCGGCCAGGTGACCTCCCCTCGGAGCTCTATGGGGGGGGGGAAATGCGTGCGGGTGTGTTCGTGTGAGGTGAGGTGAGGGGGACGCGGGGTTGGCTCCGTTGCTTGGTGGTGGCGAGGTCGGGGATTTGGGCGCCTGCCGAACGACTTCGTGGCGGCGGCATCACACACTCCCCTCTATTCTCACCGGAACTCCACACTCCCCTCTATTCTCACCGGAACTCCACACTCCCCTCTATTCTCACCGGAACTCCACACTCCCCTCTATTCTCACCGGAACTCCACACTCCCCTCTATTCTCACCGGAACTCCACACTCCCCTCTATTCTCACCGGAACTCCACACTCCCCTCTATTCTCACCGGAACTCCACACTCCCCTCTATTCCCACCGGAACTCCACACTCCCCTCTATTCTCACCGGAACTCCACACTCCCCTCTATTCCCACCGGAACTCCACACTCCCCTCTATTTCCACCAGAACTCCACACTCCCCTCTATTCCCACCGGAACTCCACACTCCCCTCTATTCCCACCGGAACTCCCCAATCTTCTGTTAGTGCTGATGGAAGTCGCCACTGCTGTTGATGCTACTGCTGCATGTGCTCCTGTCAGTGCTGCTGCTGGTACTGATGCAGCCTATGAACTTAACGATGTTTATTTTACCAGGGTAAGTCCCACTGAGCTGTGTAGCTGTTGTTCAGAAGCGACCTGGCTATCACAAATGAGAGCTCAACGAAGTGACTTGTCGTCATCATCATCGTCATTACGTGGACATTTATAGTAGCCAAATACTCTCAACGCGTGACGTTGATTCTAAATGTCGAGGGGAAAAAACCGGAGGACCCGGAGAAAAATCCACGCAACCACGGGGAGGTACAACACGCAAACTCCAAACATACAGCATGGGTCATTTTTGTTTTTTTACCCTTCTATCTGGCAACATGGGTTGGACCATCTATCTGGCAACATGTGAGACGAGGCTCTAAGGAAAGCTTTCTCGGGTGTGGACCAATCAACTTCAAGGACAGTGCACATTATCAGAGTTGTGTCTTTTGTTTGTATTTATGACTGCAGGTATTGCGGTCTATGCAAACATGACTCCTTGTAAAAAGGTGTCAGTTTTGTTGCCAGATAGAAGGGTAAAAAACCAATTATCATATTTTTAATGGCAAATGAGGTTCCCAAACATACATCATGGGTCGTCAGGGTCGGGATCGCACCCACGACCTCCTGTAGACCATGCGAGGGAGTTAACATCTCGCCACGGAGGAGAGAGAGACACGCAGACTCCAACTATACAGCAGGCTTCGTCAGGGTCGGAATGGAACCCTACGACCTCCCGTATACCAGGAGAGGTAGTCAACATCTCGCCGTGTTTGCCTGCAGGCTCCTCCGTGCCGCCGGCCTCCGCCCAGGCTGTGGCGGTGTCGCGCAGCGCTCGCTCTCGCTACGGCCTGCGCCCGCGCGAGAGGCAAGTCTACACAGAGGTGGAGGAGCCCCAGGACGACGACTTCTTCTGTGAGACCTCCTGCTCCCTCTCACTCTCTCTCTCACTTTTTCACTCTCTCTCTCACACCGTCACTTTCTCACACTCTCTCTCACACTGTCACTTTCTCACACTCTCTCTCACACTGTCACTTTCTCACACTCTCTCTCACACTGTCACTTTCTCACACTCTCTCTCACACTGTCACTTTCTCACTCTCTCTCTCACTGTCACTTTCTCACACTCTCTCTCACACTGTCACTTTCTCACTCTCTCTCTCACACTGTCACTTTCTCACTCTCTCTCTCACACTGTCACTTTCTCACTCTCTCACACTGTCACTTTCTCACACTCTCTCTCACAATGTCACTTTCTCACACTCTCTCTCACAATGTCACTTTCTCACACTCTCTCTCACACCGTCACTTTCTCACACTCTCTCTCACACTGTCACTTTCTCACTCTCTCTCTCACTGTCACTTTCTCACTCTCTCTCTCACTGTCACTTTCTCACTCTCTCACACTGTCACTTTCTCACACTCTCTCTCACACTGTCACTTTCTCACTCTCTCTCACACTGTCAATTTCTCACTCTCTCACACTGTCACTTTCTCACACTCTCACTCACACTGTCACTTTCTCACACTCTCTCTTTCTCACTTTCTCACACTCTCTCTCACACTGTCACTTTCTTACACTCTCTTAGGGGCCGTCCATAAATTACGTCACGCGATTTTGGACGATTTTTGACCCCCCCCCCCCCCATCGTCACACGGCATCACAAAAAGTCAGACCCTTCCTCAAATGTGACGTCACAAAGCTCTGGCCCCCCCCAAAGTAAAACATGCTTCAAATCGCTTTAAACTATTGTCATTGTAGTGCGTATTTAATGTGGCGCCGCACTCTGATGTTGTAGGAGAAAACATTTATGAAAAAGACTATTTATTTAAGTAGAACGTGTTGTCTATATTTATTTAAAGTTGCGCATTTTGATGTGACGTCACATTTCTCAACCCCCCCCCCCTCGTCACACATCGTCACAAATGTCTGACCCCCCCCCCCCTAGGTGCGTGACGTCATTCATGGACGGCCCCTTAATCTAACTTTCTCACACTCTCACCCATCTCTCTCTCTATTGCTCCCGCGCTCTCACTCAATATATTCCATCTGCTCCCTCTCACTCTCTCCCCCTTTCCCTCCCTCTCACATGCTCCGTTTCTCGTACTCTCAATTACCTCTCTCTCTTTCGCTCCTTCACTCAGGGGATGGATGCAGGGAGGGTGACAGGGTTTACATCTCCGATGAGCGAGCTAAAGAATTTTCTTGGTTCTTTCGGTAAAGTTACATAGAAAACGTGACTTTACCAAAAGAACCAAGAAGATAAATCCCTGCAGTCACGAAAGCTTTAAATCGAAATTTGAGCTAAAGAAGTTCCCCATGCAGAGAGGGAGGGATGGAGGCATCTGTCTGGAGCGCTCCTCACCCTCTCACCCTCTCACAGTGCCACTGCTGCTGCTGTTACTACTGCGGTTCGCCCTCCTCCCGCTGCTGCTGCTGTGGCTCTCAGTCTGCGAGCTGTGCAGGGATTACTACCTGGTCGAGTGCTCCGTGCACGGCCCGCCAGAGTTCATCGCGGACGCGGCCGTGGCCCCGGGAGTGGCCAACAGGGCCCGGCTCAGCCTGCCCCAGGGCCTCACCGTCGGCGCCTCCTCCATCGCCGGCGCCGGCCTCGGGGTGTGGAGCAACAGGAAGAAGCTGCCCAAAGGGGTGATGTTTGGGCCCTACAAGGGAGAGGTGTCTGAGGAGAACCCCGTGAGCGAGTACTGCTGGCTGGTGAGCTGCTGCTCCTGCCGCTGCCACTGCTGCAGCCTCCTCCTATTCCTACATCATCATCGTGTGTGTAGAGAGGAGGCTCGTGAAGGAGCTACAGAGAAACCCACAGACTCACACAGAGACCCAGAGACTCGCACAGAGACCCAGAGACTTGCACAGAGACCTAGAGACTCGCACAGGGACCCACAGATTCAGAGACCCGCAGACTCACAGAGAGATCCAAAAATTGACGTAATTATGATTTCAACTTGTAACACACAGCAGCCGCTCGCTTGCAAGGACAGAACAACTTCGATGCGAGAGGAGGAACCACAGACAAGTGTTTACGCCTCACACACTCCTTACACAAAAATAAACCACGATACCTCGCCGCTGATCTCGTCAAGAAGCATAAACCATCATCACGCAAACTCTGTTCATGCTCGCAGCAGCAGCGGCGTTTGGCTACCCATCGTGCAAAGACGGTGGTCACCGCATGGCGCGGCACTTACAGATGCACTTCTGCGGCCGTCTGGAAGGCTCTTCCTTCCAATATTAGGATGCCACTGGGAGCTATGCACTTTTAAATCTTGTAGATTGAAAATGCATTTCTTTAGAACTGATTTAGTGTTTAGTTTGTTGTCCTTCCTCCGCACCTCCGATCAGCACGGTTGGCTACGTACGATACGAAAGAAGTTCAACTTACAGTCCAACTCACATTAATTATCCGTGGATCTGCTCGTGTGCGTGTGCGTTTCAGATTTACAAAAACAAAAAGGATCGTGAATATGTTGATGCTCACGATGAATCTAAGTCAAACTGGATGAGGTGATTCTTGTCTTAAGGACCACTACACAGATCAGAACCACTACACACAGAGACTAGAACCACCACACACAAAGACCAGAACCACTTCAGTGACCCGAACCACTACACACAGAGACCAGAACCACTACACACAGAGACCAGAACCACTACACACAGAGGCCAGAACCACTACACACAGAGACCAGAACCACTCCACACAGAGACCAGAACCACTACACACAGAGACCAGAACCACTACACACAGAGACCAGAACCACCACACACAGAGACCAGAACCACTTCATACAGGGTCCAGAACCACTACACACAGAGACCAGAACCACCACACACAGAGACCAGAACCACCACACACAGAGACCAGAACCACCACACACAGAGACCAGAACCACTACACACAGTGACCAGAACCACCACACACAGAGACCAGAACCACTACAGAGACCAGAACCACCACACACAGATACCAAAACCACTACACACAGAGACCCGAACCACTACAGAGACCAGAACCACCACACACAGACCAGAACCACTATACACAGAGACCAGAACCACCACACACAGAGACCAAAACCACTCCACACAGACCAGAACCACTATACACAGAGACTAGAACCACCACACACAAAGACCAGAACCACTTCAGTGACCAGAACCACTACACACAGAGACCAGAACCACTACAGAGACCAGAACCACCACACACAGAGACAAGAACCACCACACACAGAGACAAGAACCACCACACACAGAGACCAGAACCACCACACACAGAGACCAGAACCACCACACAGAGACCAGAACCACTACAGAGACAAGAACCACCACACACGGAGACCAGAACCACTCCACACAGAGACCAACCCTGGGCCTCCCTTTGGTCGACTCGGCATCAAATGAGCACCCGGTACGGAGCGTGGTTCCAGCCACACCACACCCACGTAGCGCCCAGTGCCGGCCCTTAATAGGCGCTCGCTAACGGCGCCCACCCCGCCCCCGCGTCTGCCCGCGCAGGTTCGTCAACTGCGCGAGGAATGAGCAGGAGCAGAACCTGGTGGCCTTCCAGCACAGGGGGCAGATTTACTACCGCACGTTCCGTGCCGTGGGGGCCGGCTCTGAGCTGCTGGTCTGGTACGGCGAGGAGTTCGCCCAGGAGCTAGGCATCGCCTGCGAGGCCGGGCCCTCGCGACGCCGCAGCAGCAGCAACGAGATGGCTCCCAGGGCCACCGCCAGAGACCTGCAGCCTGTGCAGCCTCCACCAAGCGAGGAACACTGTGAGCACCGCTCACCAGAGACTCGCCAATGCTCACCAGACTATAGCCACCACTCACCAGAGGTGATATCCACCACTCACCAGAGATGATAGCCACCGCTCACCAGAGATGATATCCACCACTCACCAGAGATGATAGCCACCACTTACCAGAGATGATAGCCACCGCTCACCAGAGACTATACCCACCACTCAACAGAGATGATAGCCACCACTCACCAGAGATGATAGCCACCACTCATCAGAGATGATAGCCTCCACTCACCAGAGATGATAGCCTCCACTCACCAGAGATGATAGCCACCGCTCACCAGAGATGATAGCCACCGCTCACCAGAGATGATATCCACCACTCACCAGAGATGATAGCCACCACTCCCCAGAGATGATAGCCACCACTTACCAGAGATGATATCCACCACTCACCAGAGATGATAGCCACCACTCACCAGAGACGATAGCCACCACTCACCAGAGATGATAGCCACCACTCCCTAGAGATGATAGCCACCACTCCCTAGAGATGAAAGCCACCACTCACCAAAGATGAATGTCACCACTCACCAAAGATGATAGCCACCACTCACCAAAGATGATAGCCACCACTCACCAAAGATGACAGCCACCACTCACCAAAGATGACAGCCACCACTCACCAGAGATGACAGCCACCACTCACCAGAGATGATAGGCACCACTCACCAAAGATGATAGCCACCACTCACCATAGATGATAGCCTCCACTCACCAGAGATGATAACCACCACTCACCAGAGATGATAGCCACCAGCCACACTGATAACGTGCAAATGAGTAACTGGTGTGGTGTGTAGTAGTAAACATCGCCACTGGGGAGACAAAGGCGGCCATGTGTGGTGTTGTCCACCCTCCCACTCGTGTGCCGTGCTGGCTTTCATAGGTGCCCGATAACAGCACTTGTCCCAAAAGCATATACAGGCTATACGGGGGTTCTTTGTCTTGGTGTGTATATATAATGGAGCCCACTGCACTACGAACCCGGCCACCTGAGTTCGATTCCCACTCACGGCCAACGTCAGTGGTGAATATTTAGGCCTCTCCTAGGTTGACTCAGCCTAAAATGAGTACCTAGCTTAAACGTGGAAACATCGCCACTGGAGAGAAAAAGGCGGCCGGGCCTGGTGTTGGCCACCTACTCCCTCGTGTGCCATGCCGGCCTTCATAGGTACTCGCAAACAGCACTTACCCTATCAGTCTGATATGGCTATTGGGGACCTTTACCTTTGTATATGCACACACGTGTGCAAGAGAGTTCATGTCTAGGTGTTGGTGTGTGCGCGTGTGTCTTGTGCCTCTGGGATGATGCAGGTGGAGTGGGTGTGGAGGTCACAAGGCTGCCGTGTCCCGACTGCAACCGTCAGTTCATCTGCCGCTCTAGTCTACAGCATCACGTGCAGAGGAGACACCCCACGAAGCCCAGTAACAAAAGTCATCAGTGTGACCAATGTTCATTCAGCACAGACTACAAGAGTAGCTTGAAGAAACACCAGAGAACACACACGGGAGAGAAGCCGTTCAAGTGCACTGTGTGTGAGAAGGCATTTGCACGGATATCAAATCTCCACAGCCACCAGAGAACACACACGGGAGAGAAGCCGTTCAAGTGCACCGTGTGTGAGAAGGCGTTTGCAGACTCATCACATCTTCACAGCCACCAGAGAACACACACGGGAGAGAAGCCGTTCAAGTGCACGGTGTGTGAGAAGGCGTTTGCACTGCTATCAACTCTTCACAGCCACCAGAGAACACACACGGGAGAGAAGCCGTTCAAGTGCACCGTGTGTGAGAAGGCATTTGCACATCTATCAACTCTTCACAGCCACCAGAGAACACACACGGGAGAGAAGCCCTTCAAGTGCACCGTGTGTGAGAAGGCGTTTGCACGGATATCAAATCTCCACAGCCACCAGAGAACACACACGGGAGAGAAGCCGTTCAAGTGCACCGTGTGTGAGAAGGCGTTTGCAGACTCATCACATCTTCACAGCCACCAGAGAACACACACGGGAGAGAAGCCGTTCAAGTGCACGGTGTGTGAGAAGGCGTTTGCACTGCTATCAACTCTTCACAGCCACCAGAGAACACACACGGGAGAGAAGCCGTTCAAGTGCACCGTGTGTGAGAAGGCATTTGCACATCTATCAACTCTTCACAACCACCAGATAACACACATGGGAGAGAAGCCCTTCAAGTGCACCGTGTGTGAGAAGGCGTTTGCACGGATATCAAATCTCCACAGCCACCAGAGAACACACATGGGAGAGAAGCCGTTCAAGTGCACCATGTGTGAGAAGGTGTTTGCACAGCAATCAACTCTTCACAGGCACCAGAGAACACACACCGGCCAGAATGCATTTTCTCATTCCCGTGGAAACAGAAAAGTCAGCCATCCTGAGCAAAACGCGCACAGCGCCGAGCTGTGAATTAGTTTTAAACAACAGGCCACGTGACTAGCCGAGGCTGTGCCACTCTTGAAACTGATTTTGAATGTGAACACGGAAACCTACGGATCCTCCTACACCTGCCTCACACTCTGTGGGGGGTGCGAGATTAAACCGACCCGGCCACCCCTCGATTGCAAGTGCGGAGTTCTAGGTCCCAAACACTGCACGTGTCCCCCCCCATCACCTGGGGGTCCCTGTGTGTGTGAGTGTGCAGAGTCCCCCGTGCAGAGCTGCACTGTTGTTACCCTCGAGGGGGGCACCGCAGGGCGATCCACCTACAGATACCCCAGTCTGCACGTCTCCCGCTGGTCTCCATGCGCACCGCGTGCCGTCTCGTAGCCCTGCCCCGTGCGACGTACGTACAGTACGTACTGTACATACAGTACATACAGTACGTACCCATCCAGCGGTAGACTGAACCACGGCCGATGACGAAGGTGGCATCCGCTCACAAATCTCCGAACACTCAGTCCAGAGGTCGCAACCGGGTACCCGATACCCGTACCCTACCCGATACCCGGCCGGGTACGGGTAGACCGTGAGTCACTGGTGAGTAACTGTTTGTCACTCATTTCCCAACGTCTTGTCTCTTCTCACAATTCAAGTTCCTAGAATCAACCCACCCGCGCCTGCAACATGGCTTCACCCCAGAGGTCGCAATCAGGTACCCGATACCCGAGTACGGGTACCTGTTTACAACGCTGGTGCGGCCGGGTACGGGTAAGGAATCAAAACCCGTTTGCGACCTCTGACTCAGTACCGTAGCCCCGAGCCATCACTTGCGCGATATTCACTTTGCTGCTGAGAGGAAAGCTACAGGGAGGAGGTGGGGGGGTTGCTATGAGAGGACATCTGTGGAACGGCTGGAGATCTGCGAAGAAGAGCTTCATAGCTCATCGGATTCCTGCGCTCTGAAAAAATATTCCGAGAGGGCGTTAGGAGGGGGGGGGGGGGGTGTAGGTATGAGTGGGGCATCTGCACTTGGATCACCCTGTGTGTTGTTGCTGCCTCCCCCGTTGAAAATGTTCCCAGCGTGAACTTCACCCTTTGCCGTCGCGACGACGCCGCGTGCCGTGCGTGAACGTCGTCGTCGTCGGAACAACAAAAAGCAGTAAAAACTAAAGTAACTTTATCGGTACCGAGGCTCCCACAGAGCCACGCGGGGCAGGGAGTGTGGCACAGTTTTGGCACCGGCTAGCGCAGAGTGGCGGCGGTCGTGTCGCTACGCTTCTCTGCGGTGAGCAAACGACGTCTTTATAACAACAACAGCAACAGTGCTGCTGCCACTGCTGATGCCTCTCTAAATAGAATTAACGAGGGAGAGAGGCTCGCTCGTTTCGCGGGATTCTGCGGTGAACGGTGACACCCACCCTGTGAACGGTGACACCCAACCCGTGAACGGTGACACCCCATGGGTGGAAAAAACCCGATATTTCCAGCGGCAGGCATCGGGTTTTTTCTTTAATACAATTAAACCCGATTTCGGGGAATTAAAACCTGGTTTAATGAATACGAAACTCTGATAGGCTTAGGCTGTAGTAGTAGGTTTTTATCTTTTTAAACTGGTACAAAACTGACACCTTTATTCGAGGCATCATGTTTGCAATCACCACAACACAAGTAGTCAAAAAAGCAAACAAAAAGAAGCAACAGTGCATATTATTATCATTATCAGAGTTGCTTCTTTTTGTTTGCTTTTTTGACTACTTGTGTTGTGGTGATTGCAAACATGATGCCTCGAATAAAGGTGTCAGTTTTGTACCAGTTTAAAAGGGTAAAAACCTACTACTATATTTTGCCACTGGTAAAAGAGATCTCAGTGTAAAGGCTTAGACTGCTTCCTCGTCGGTGCTGCTATCGTACTCGGGGGGGGGGGCGTCGGGCACGGGGTAGTCGTAGAATGCGGCGGGCAGGTTGGTCTTGATGAACACGAGCTTCTCCTCCACAATCGTTGGCGCCAGTGAGTTCCTTAGCTTGGAATGGATGAAGCCCATCGTTGAGAAGTGCGGTTCTGCAATTAGAACCAATTAAACCGGATTTCTCCCAATCTTAGATGATCGGGTTTAATATAAAAAGACAATTAAACCCGATTGTAAAAAAACCCAACTGTGACACCCACCCCGTAAACGGTGACACCCACCCCGTGAACGGTGACGCCCACCCCGTGAACCGTAACACCCACCCCGTGAACTGTGACGCTCACCCCGTGAACGGTGACACCCACCCCGTGAACGGTGACACCCACCGACCCTGCAACTCTGCAGACGTCTCGGACGCGGGAAAGGGTTGAAAGATTCTCTGCGTCGTCCCGGTTGCTCGCGTGATGTCGCACGGTGGTCGCGCGCGTTGACTCTTACACGTTTAAGAAAGTTGAGCGTTAGTTCGTGATTCTGTTTACAATGATATATGTACATACTTAAACTAACAAAAATTATCTTGGGATTCTACCAAGTAAGGTCCAACTGGATACGTAGTAGCTCTTTTATCAGACGTGACCACTTGGCCATCACAAATGAAAGCTCAACGAAGTGGCTTATCATTGCGTGGACATTTATAGCGGCCAAATACTCTGATCGCGTGATCTCGATTCTAAATGTCGAGGGAAAAATCGGAGGACCTGGAGAAAAATCCACACGACCACGGGGAGAGAGAGAGAGACGCGCAAACTCAAAATATACAGCAGGCGTCAGGGTCGGAATCGATCCAACGAACTCAGGAGAGGTAGTTAACATCTCAACATTTTTCAGAGTATTTGGCTGCTGTAAATGTCACGTGATGAGCCACTTCGGTGCGCTGCTGTCATTTGTGATAGCCAGGTCGCTACTCCACAGCTCAGTGGGGGCCTTACCTGGAAAAGTAAAGTGAAGTAAAAAACTAAAATCTACTGTATTCTTGGTTCTTTCGGTAAAGTCACGTAGAAGAGAATTAATAAAATAATAAAAATGTAAGAAACAAATTAACACGACGTTTCGATTGCAACACAAGCAATCATCAGGTTATGAAAACCACAGCAAAACAAATTATTGCTGTGGTTTTCACACCTGATGATGATTGCTTGTGTTGCAATCGAAACGTCATGAGAATTTTATTGTACAATTTTTATTATTTTATTACTTCCCTTCTACGTGACTCTACCGAAAGAACCAAGCATTTGAATCCCTGTAGTCACGAAATCTTCAAATCGAAAACTAAAATCTCCTGTTGAGAATGACCTCACCGGACCGGTCGAGGCAGCGCTGCCGTCTTGGTCCCAATTGGCATCGGCGGCGTCTCGTTGGTTGTAAAGGCAGCCCAGCTCACACAGCCCGTGCCGGTGCAACAGGCCGTAGTCTACCCGGGGTTCAAGCGGCCTAGGCTAGATTGTACCCGGGTGTATTATGGCCGAGGCCAATTTATACTCTGGGGTATATTATGGCCTTGGCCAAATTATACCCCTCTAGGCCAAATCATACCCCCATGATAGTAAGTGTAGGACTCGTACTCGGATTGTCTTTCTCGTTCCGTTTATTTGCTCTTTAAAGTCCACACCTCATCACCGCTCCGTGTCTCCCCGTTCGCTCCGTCACGCTATCCGCCATCAATGGCGCTCTATGTCTCTCCACTCTCTCTCCTGCTCTCCCAGACTCCGTCACTCCGCTGCTACCCTACTCTGTATCTCTCCGATGCACTACCACTGCTACCACTCACTCTGTCTCCTCTATCCACTGCTACCGTACTTTGTCCTGTCTCTCTCCACTGCTACCGTTATCGTATCTTCCTCTACTTACTCCTGCTCTTCGCTATTTCGGGCACCATTACTCCAACTCCTATCCAGACTCCAGCTCTAACCAAGACTCCAGCTTCCAACCAGACTCCCATCTCTACGTTACGCTATCCTTTTATATCCACCCCAATCAGTCCCTATTAATTATCTCACCCCCCGATTGCCCCTCGCCCCCCAGGCCCCCAGCCTCACGTGACCTTGTTGTTCCCGCCTGGGCGATGCCAGTCATTAAGCATTAAGCAATCACCCTCTTAACCAATCACCGGCCTGTATCCCCGGTTGCCCTTAACACCTGTTACGCCACTTAACGCGTCTCCCTCACGCCTCAGCAACAACAACATCGTCCTCAAATACCCCCTACTGTACACTTGCTTGCTTGCATAGCAACAGACCCACAGAGCGCGTGTCGCGGCATATTCCAAGTCCTACAATAGTGTTGAGCGATATACACATGAATTACTAAAGTTTTCCAACATTTTATTTAAAACTGTAAACACATAGACTTTTCATTTTCTTGGTTCTTTCGGTAAAGTCACGTAGAAGGGAAATAATAAAATAAAAAAGCAAATCATAATAAATAATATAATTATTATTTTATTATATTTTATTATATTATAGTATGTTACTATTTTATATAATAAATTTCTTATATTCTATTATTTTATTATATTATTATATTTTATTATGTTTATTACTTTATTATTTCCCTTCTACGTGACTTTACCGAAAGAACCAAGAAGATGAAGCCCTGCAGTCACGAAAGCTTTAAATCGAAATTTTACATAGACTTTGATTGCTTCAACCAGAACAACTTTAATAATAACCCTAACCCTTAAAATGCCTAAATTGATCAACTTGAGATTCTTACTTCCATTTATACGCTTTTTAGATATCGATTGAAGTTCGTTGTCGGCTGTTCTCTGTATGGATAATTGCCTTTGAACTTTCACATGGGGCATGTTCTGCCCTGGAGGGGGGGTATGGTCTGGACCATTCTAGTTTAAACCCCCGGGTCTAGTTTAGCCTAGGACACTTTATCCCCCCGGGTATACTCTGGCCTGGGCCAAACTATACCCGGGTTTAATCGGGGCAGGGGTTATTTTAAAATCCTTTATATTAAGTTCACTTGCTTGCTTGCTTGCACGCTTACGACCGTGCAAATCTTTCAGTCGTTTTTTAACCCACTTCCCGTGATCCAATCGAGCTGACATTTTGCACACAGACTCGTTGTGCGTGACAATTTATTTTCGTGAAAATTTTTTTCAAAAATTTTACACTTTTTAGGAAAAAAAATTATATTTAATTACCAATTGCTTAATGGTGGCAGGCAATCATCTGAGCCATAGGTGGCAGCCATGTCAAGCCAGAGGACGAGAGGACTCTAGCCGCCACGCATATAAAGGATTTATAGTGAAAAACTTTGTTTTTACGGGTTAATTTTTTTTAGCCTGTTATACCGGTATCTCCAGGAGGTCGGAGCGACTTGCTCTGTGGTGACACTTTTCCGTGACAGAGGTTTGGTTTTTGTTGTTGTTGTTGGGTTAGAGATCTCGTGAACATCAACATTGTGTCGTTAACCCACCACCACCCACCACCATCGCCTGACACGGCCATTCAGTCAGGGTTTGTCACGTAAACGAAACGTGCCAATTGGTTACCAACTTCAGCACACACAGCGCTTGTGTGTCGGGGAGAGTGAACCCACAACAGCATTTACAATTCGAGTACCGGTGACGTTTCGCCGGTGATTACAAACAACGGCGACCGGTTTCATCGGGCGATGTGCCAGGATTGTGATCCAACGCCATCTAACCCAGCAGCAGCAGCAGCGACGACGACAACAAAAACCTTCATCACAGACACCGCTGGTCGCAAGAGACTGCGCGTGGCGCTTTGTGTTGCCGTTGCCACGAATCGTCGAAGCGCGTTCACGATCTGTTGTTCTCCTGTAACGCGGTGGTCATTTCGATTTAAAGCTGTCGTGACTGCAGGGATTCATCTTCTTGGTTCTTTCGGTAAAGTCACGTAGAATGGAAATAATTAAATAATAAAAATAAAGCAATAAAGTAATTGTTTTATTTTTATTGT